AACTTGGCTTTTGTGTGATTTTCTGCTTCTGTCGCGTCTTCGTGTCTCTTTGGGACGCATTCTGTACCTGTACCTGTGCTTGTGTAAATATGTATTCATGATAAAGCACGCGAGAAACTCCAGAGTCTTGAATCACTATGGCTTACATAGCAATCCTTGCTTCCCTTTAGTATACTGCCTCCTCGCCAACCGCATCCAGTTCCTCAAAGAGCAGACCGCTGCCAAGCATCAGAGCGTCAGCCGCGCGCGAGCCACCCTCTGCGAAGTCGTCGCCACCAAGATCCTGCGCAAGTTCCACGAGGACAACACCCCCGAGAGGTCGGGCTCCGCTGGTCTGTTGCGCCTGGCCAATGTCCTCGTCCAAGGGTTCGATCCTTTCTCAGGGGCTCCGGAAGATGTCATCCGCGTTGGGAGATATACGCACTGGCCGGTGCAAGAGCGCGGCGGCCAAGAGGGAAAGCTCACGGCGCTGGAACTGGCGATCCTGTCGGAGAGCAAGACGCTGATGAGCTCACCCGCGTGTCTGCGAGTCGTGAATGCCGTGAACGAGGGGCAGGTGGTGTACACGCCGATATCCTTTGTCGATATCTTGCCGGATCATTACAAATATCATCCAGTGTCGTTATATGATCCGCGCAAAGCACCGCTGCTGAACCATTATCGGTTGATTGTTCCGAAATGGAGGAACTTGCTCGAGTCCATGCAGTTCATGATATTGCTGGGATTATACATCCTGACCATGGTGAACCGAAGCAATCCGGCTTCTCAGAGACTCTATGAGAGCCTGTTTGCCATATTTTCGGCGGGATGGATCCTAGACGAGTTTGCGGCTATCATTGAGCATGGATGGGCGGTGCATGCTCAGAAGACGTGGGCGTTCCTGGACGTGACCTTTACCATCATCTTCTGCGCCTATCTCTCAGTGCGTGTGTACGATATCTGGATCTCTGTCGCCCATAGCTTGGACGGCACAGACTCTCTGGCACTGCATATCCTATGCGTTGCAGCACCGGTACTGCTGACTCGATTTGCATTTAGTCTCATGCCGGACAATATCGTCTTCATCTCGCTGCACGCCATGATGAAAGACTTTCTTATGTTGACATTCCTCACGCTGTGGTGCGTGGGAGGCTTCTTCCTGGCGTTGCAGTGGCTCCTGATGACCAGCCAAGGCTCAGATCCCAAGTGGTACACCGTAGCCAAGTGGCTTCTATGGATCTGGTTTGGACTCGACGGCACGGGCATTCAAGAATCTGTGCAGTTCCACGTCGTGCTCGGCCCAGCCTTGATCGTGGCCTTTGCCTTCTTGGGCAACACGCTGTTCCTCACGATTCTTGTCGCCGTGCTTACCAACACGTTCTCGCGTATCGTCGACGCCGAGGCCGCTGAGATTCAATTCCGCCGCGCAGTGCTCACGTTTGAGTGCGTGAGGAGCGACGCCATCTTTGCCTACCCGCCGCCATCCAACATGCTGGCTCTAATGTTGATGCTGCCCCTGAAGCTGCTCGTCTCGGCACGCGATTTCCACTCCATCCACGTTGCCATTGTACGGGTTCTCAATTTCCCCGTCCTCATATTCATAAGCTTGTACGAGCGCAGCTTTTTCAGAATCGGTGAATCAAGCCGAGGGAAGAGGTCGAACCAACTGCTTAGATGGCGCTTCACCGGCTTCAACCCCCATGGCGACATCGAGGCGGTCTTTGAAGCGGATCCGCCGCCGGAAGTGGCGGCTGAGGCTGGCGAGCTGGATGGACTTAGTGAGCTTGGATTCACAGATGATGGCATCTCGAGGTCGTCTAGGGACATCAGGAGACCTGTTGTTTTTAGGCTGAGCAACTCCAAGAGCAGAGACGAGACGCTGGAGATGCTGGGCAGGGGAGGGAGTCCCGGGGCCGAGGTGATAGGAGGGTCTCAAGCGTAGTTATGGTGCTATGATGCATGTCTTGATCAGCGTATCCAGCGGTTAATGATGAATAAAAAAATAACGACATACAATGCATCTTTTTTCCATTGAAACGAGTATGAGCATTTACACGCCAGCCAATTACAGGCCTCACAGCGCCAAGCTCACAGCTCTCAGTGGACACGCACTAAGCCCCAAACAACCCCCTCCAAGCCTTATCAATCACTACACCTCAGCCATCAGTAGCTGCCATTTGCACCATCGTCATCCAAACCAGCACAACCACCAACAATGGAGCTCCCAGCCCTCCTCACGCTCTTCTGCGCAGTCCTCAGCGCCTCCGCCTCCGCCGCGCAAATCTCCCTCGCCGTCTCCCTCCCCGCAAAGCCAAACCCCTTCCTCCTGCCGCCCAGCACCCACGCCACGCTGTCCAGCCTGCACAAGCGCCTCGACGCCCCTCTGACCACGGTCAACACCTTCAACTTCCACAACGTCTCGGCCGACTCGTATCTGCTCGACGTGCACTGCGCCACGGACACCTTCCAGCCGCTGCGGGTCGACGTTGGCGAGGATGGCGCCGTCAAGGCCTGGGAGACGTTCCGCGGCAACGAGTGGGGGAATAAAGGCGAGGAGGTGCCTGTGAAGAGCGAGGGGGAGAGTCGGAGGGGGTTTAGCGTCAAGGCGCTGGGGGGCAAGATTTTCTTTTTGGAGAGACCTGCTTGTGAGTTGTTGGCTCTTTGGCTTTATATTCTTTTTGCTGTGTTTGATGGAAAACTAACCGGAGTGTCCTACAGTCTCTGTGCTGAGCATCCTCAAGAGCCCCATGATCCTAATGGGTATCGTCACAATGGGCATTGTATTCGGCATGCCGTACCTAATGGATAACAGTACGTTGTATACTTCTCAATTCCTTTCCCGCTCCCGCTCCTCCTTATATGTATATATATGCGGTATATCATATTCATGGGACTATGAAACTGACACCAACGAGCAGTGGACCCCGAGCTGCGCGCCGAATTCGAAGAGCGACAAAAGGAAAGCCCCCTCAACGCCATCATGGGCAATGCCCAGGCCGGACAGAACCCGCTTGGCAACTTTGATATGGCGGCTTACCTTGCGGGCTCTGGTAAAAAAGAGGGCGTGAAGAGGTGAGATGGTCTTTGGCGCTTGATAAGGGAAAAAAGATAATGTAGATAGATACAAAGACTGGCAGATAATTAGGATATTGATGGAGCAAAGTCGTTGTAGCTATTATAGTATATGCTTCTAATTTGGAACAAAGGCACAAGTGAGCACAGCCAAATTCATGTGAAAATGTGCCATCAATCGTGTGTAATTGGCATTATTCCGGTACGCCATCGTCCCAGTCCCAGCCCAAATAACTACAATCTTGTCTTGATATATGTATGTAGCTCTTAAGACAAACAAAATAGAGAAACAAGGAAAACCCGATTCATTACCCTCACCCAGGAAATTCTCCTCCATGCAAAGAAACTATATATTTTATAGCAATCATTTAACTAACTTGGCTCGTATCGCTTAGACTCTCTTAGAAATCACCACCACCATCGTCGTATCCGTTATCAAATCCGTTATCATATCCTTGATCGTAACCCTGCTCATATCCTCGGTCCTCAAAGTGATCAATGGCATCCTCAATCAACAGACCGCCAACCAAACCACCACCGAGACCAAGAGCAGCTCCTCCAAGAGTTCCAAGGCCGCCGCTCTTTTTAGGCGGTGCTTGCTGCTGCACATACACCGGCTGAGGAGACGGAGCGTATTGCTGGTATTGCTGAGGAGGAGGGCCGTAGCCGCCGCCGTACGCGCCGGGTCCGTATCCGGGGGGAGGAGGGCCATATCCCTGTGGCGGGGGAGGTCCGTAGCCTTGCGGTGGTGGCGGTCCGTAGCCTCCATAGGGGCCTGCACCAGGAGCGCCGGGGAAGCCGCTGGGAGAGGCGTTGTGCGAGCTGCTGCTATTCTTGTTTGCCAGCTTGGAGCCGAGGAAGCCACCGGCGAGGCTGCTCAGCAGGCCTCGCTCGCCGCTCTGACCCTGCTGCTGCTGCTGCTGCTGGGGAGGAGAGTAGGGGCTGCTTCCAGGTGGAGGGTATGGGCTGGTGCTCTGTCCCTGGCGGTATGAGTCGGCAGCACCCCCGCTGTAGCTACCACCACGGCTTCGCGCATTTTCCTCGGCCTGCAACCTGGCCGCCATGCGAGCATCCTCGTCTTCTTGCTGGCTTCGGGATGAAGAGCCCGCGTTGTTGCCTGAGTTGCTGTAGGGGTTCGTCTTGGAATCGTTGGGATAGGGGGAGTTGCGGCCGTGGCCCTCGTAGCCTGGAGGCGGATCTGAAGGCGGAGCTTCACCCTCGGGATAGACGGGGTGCGTAGGCTTGTCCCACTGGGATTTCTTGGTGTAGATGTTTACGTAGAACCTAGATTAAGAGTGTTAGTGAGTTTGATAAACAAATAATCTTGTATCAAGAGAGATGATTGTGCTGTGATGCTGCGCAAAAACTACATTATTAATATTGCCAATACGTACCATTCTTTATACTGGTCGTTCCACCGGGCGGTCCAGCCGGAAGGGACTTCAGGAGCCCTGGGCGGCGGAGGCCCTGTCGGGGGAGCAAAGTCGGACATGGACAGAGATGTTTTGTAGAGGTTATGTAGGTATGTGCTTCCTAATGGATGCGTGAGGAGAGGAAAAAAGAAGAAGAAAGGAAGAGAGTTGGAGTGAGTGAGAGGGGATGCGGAGGAGGGGTGGTTTAGCGTGCGAGCCCCTAGCTAGCTGGTTTGTTGGCGATGACAGTTGAGCGCTGCGGGTGGCGGATAAAATGAGCTGCTGGTCGGGGGTATCAAGTAAAAGAGTAGATTCGGTAAACTCGCCGGGTTTGGCCGGTCAAAAGACGATCTGGTTTCAACAGCACAAAGAGGCTTTCTACTTTATATACACAGGGTCCTTCTATAAGATGCATGCGCCGCAGCGGCCGCCAACCGCCACAGCACATGCTCTACCGTTCGTGACGCATGGCGAGTCCGCTAATGGCGGGAGTGCGAGGCGCAGTCGGGGCGACCACGTATGTGGGAAAACAAGAGCGCATGGCTTTGCGACCCGGCAGCCCGGCATGGAATCTGCTGGTAATTCCAGATAGTGCGTGCGCCTGTAATACCTGCTAGCAATCTCCTGTATAGCGTCTTAAAGCGAACATGTGCCTGCTCTAAATGCACCAGACATCATCACCGATCTATTCATTACAATTCCCGTCTGTCATGGCTTTTCATGGCATCAAAATCAATCAAATCCTCCTCGTTAAATCGACCTCAAACGCATGTCACTCTCAGGGTCTCCCATCTCTTGGCAGGGACTCCAGCGCAGATCCAGTCCCCGCTAATGCACGCTGCGATTGTATTCCTCAGCACTCAGAGCATCCTTAGCATCAGGCACTATCCGTACAGTACAGGCACCAGATACTTCTCTATCGCTCGAGCACAGCCACATGGGAGGACTGGCCGTGCACTGCCACGGATTCAACAAATCGCTCTCGCCGCCAGGAATCATCAGGCCTATTGGGCAATACTCCTTTGATCGGCGCATAGAGGCAGCTCTCTAAGAAACAGATAATATACTGTCGTCATATTATTTAAATTTGTAATAGTCGACTGCGCCATTTGTTTAATTCACAGAAAACATTAACAATTCGCCTTAAGATAAAGTATTCAAACAGCTAATTCCATAGTGTTACTCCGCAGCATATCATGAGCCCTTATACATCACCATGTTGGAATCCTCACATCTTAACGTAGTTCATCTGCAGCGAAAGTAGATGATAGACAACTTGAAACGTTGAATTGGATTTCCCCTGAGTCTAATGGTAAAGCTACTCAACAGACTATTAACTCTATTCCTAAGCATCAAGTACCGACGAATAATCTCTCACGTATTCTCGTTCCTGACTCAACGTTGGCATCCACATAAATCTGACATGTGAGAGACAGTCACTATTCCTCTCCTTCAGCGTATGAGCAGATGAGCCTCCGGATCACTGTTCGGAGCTTCTTCCGGTGTCCGGTGGCCGATGCCGATATTCAGGACATGACCGGCGCCGGTCCGTCAATCGGTTGAATCGACTTACCACTCCATCCCGTATGAACAAACCTAGCACATCGAATTATACACTTTAACTTGTGGATGGTCAACGCCATCTATTCATTCACTTCCCCTCTATCAGTTCCCAGCTAGAGTAGATCTATAATAATAATGATAAAATAGTAATAGAATGGGTGCATGCAATATCAACACACACATATAAGAAAGGAAGCAATACAGAGACTTCGGACAAGCCCACTGCAAAAGATCACATGCCCTCCGCCGTCATTTCATTTGTCATAAGAACCCAAATCTTGAAAACATGATATTTTTTGCCAATCATCGAGCCCTGTTCCCAAACGCCGTCTAATGCTTAGCCGTGACCTTGTCACCGGTCAATTTCTCCACATAAGTTTTGGCCCTGAACAAGACGAGTATTGTTAGCAAAGCTGTAGCCGCAAGTATAATTTGTATGAGTGAAAAGAGAGCTTACATGTCTCCGACAGCAACCATGCAAATCGTCTGCCAAATGCCGAGACCAATTCGAGGGGCAACACCTCGGTAGAGGCCCCTGACGCCATTGTTGTCATAAATGTAACGGAAAGTGTTACCGACCGTCATCTTCTTGGGTCGGTTGGGGTCGTCCTTCTTGCTCTGCATCTCGACACGGATGACCTCGATAGGCTGGTTCCAAGCACTGAGACCACCACCGAGAGCGCTAGCAAGAATCTTCTCGCCGGCAGAGAGCTTGTCGCTCTGCTGCTTGCCGGTGGCCGAGCGGATCCAGCCCTCGGCCAGTCGGCTGAGACCGAAGCGGGATCCCCAGTTGGTCATCTGTCGGATGGCGACAGCATTGACTCCCTTGTTGATACCACGGATACCCTCCTTGTTGTAAATGTTCATAAAGGTCTGGAAGGTGGAGGGAGGCTTGACACCGGAAGCGGCCAGCTTGTGCTGGGTGATTTCGACCGTCTTCATGCAGGTGCAGAAACCCATGGTGGCGTAGGCCTGGGCAACACCACCGGTGATGCCACCGGTGATGCCACCGCCAAACTCAGAAGCACCCATGTAGCGAGCGTAGAACTCGGCCTCTGAGGCAACAAAGAGCAGCACAGCGCCCTTGGTAGAAGCCTCAATCCAAGCCCAGGGAATAAGACCCTGGTAAACTGTACAATTAGAGAAAAAATAACGATTAGCCGAATGAAACTGGTAATTTCGCGCAACAGGCCATTGCGCTCTGATTTCGCGTTTACTTACAGCCGAGAGGACCACCTCGACCCCAGATACGGCCCAGCGCCGTGGAGAAGCCATCCCCGCGGTTGGCAGCCATGGTGGTCTTGACGACCTCGAGGGGCTGGCCAAGCGTCGTGACCTCGAACAAGTTCAGACCCGCGCCGAGCAGCAGGTTGGAGAACTTGATGGGCTTCTTCTCGAGCGAGCTGCCCGAGACGGGAGCTTCGATAGCGGCGGCGGCGACCATGACTTCTGGGATGTTTTGCTGTAGGGGGCCCTGACCAAGGGAATAGGGTGCTTCTTCGCAAGGCGTGGAGGAGAGGGGAAGGAATGTTGGTTTCCTAGGGGGAGAAAGTTGTAAGAGGAAGAAGAAGAGAAAAGGGGGGGGTTTGGGTTGAGGCTTTGGTGTACTTGTACTGCTTGTAGAGGGAGCGACGGATTGCGCGCGATAAGGCTTAGCTCGCTGACTAACTGGCAGTCGTTGAACGATCGGAGCATGTGTCGGAGGGTTACTGGGGGGCGCTGGCGAAAGCAGATAGGCGGTGCTCGGCCAGGGAGGTCAGCAAAAGGCAGCGTTCGGGCAGGATAGGAACCGGGCCGAGGACCGAATGGGGTGTGCCTTGGGCTCTGGAACCGTGATTGTCCGAAAAAGTGGTGGGTGAGAGTCTAGCATGTGCTTTTGGCAATTCTCCGCATTGGAGGATATGAGTCTACGTGCATCATTCATTTACAGCAGTGACCCCAAGTGAGACTGATGATATCTCTCCATCTCCATCTCTATCTCTAATGACTGCTACCACCTACTCTGTTGTAGCTCCCCCTCAACCCGTTCCTCTCGTCTTCCCCACGTTGGGACCGTTCCTGGCGCCACCACTTGGGGATTTCACAGCCATGTAGGTACATAATCACATGTACCTGCGGGAGCGCTGCTTATAGGCACTACAGCCCACAGGATCGGTCCGCGTGAGATTAGAATGCAGGTAATACTGCCCGTAATCAATTGATTATAGCTACATGTAGCCACGGAATATCCCCAAATAATCCAATCCCTTAGTAAAACACACGAAGAAGACAATCGCTTCTCTTCTTACACCTTGTCCTGCTTGCGGTGGGCTGTGGCCCGTGTGGCGCCCAGGTTCCGCTGAATTCGGTTTCGGCCATCTCAACAGGTTGCGATTGTTGAGCTTAGATCTGCCAAAGGGAGGAGCCAATGAGCGCTAAAATTTCCCACAGACGGCGAGCGCCATCTCCACAGAGCATCAAAACCTTGCGCCTCCATCGAATACGAATAAGAGGGACTACAACAAGAATAGTTACATGCAGCGGGCCTCCAATTTTTCGACAAAGCTTTGCCTATCCGAGTAATTATCCCATTGGGATTCATTCAAAGCGTTCAGATGGCAAATGTCAGGATGGTATTTGGTTATGTGATTCTTATGTGATTCTTCCATTCTATTCCGGCTGTTATGTAGACTGGAGTTGATATACAAGCTCTCGTCCGCGTTGTCGGATGATAGTTGTACACAGGTCTAACCGTTACCATCTTGGCCGCAGCTGTTGGCCAATGGCACTTTAATGTTGGCTTGCCAAATTGATGTAAAGTGCTATCACTTACAACTCATATAAGCATCACTTCTCTTCAAATCACCAGAGCTCATCTCGTGTCATTAACATCAATTGGAAACTAAACAGTTCCGTATATTGTACAATTAAGCGCCGTTCTGGCCGTCGCTGTGTCATCCACAGACTGTCTATATCCCAGTCGGCTGTCAAATTCGCCCCAAGGGCTCCAATCTTTGCTTTTCCCTAATTTTCCAATGCTCCCCTTAAGAAAACCAAAAAAATCTCCCTCTATCGCCGCCATTTTTGTTGCTCCTCCCTTGCTCAGCGTAAAACCCCTTACAACTTCTTGACAAGCTCAGCCCACTTGTCAGTGGAGAAGGACTTGGGGCGCTCAATGGGAGCACCAACAGCTCGGTCAATGATCAGCTGGGGAAGGACACCAATGGCACGGGAGACACCGAAGAGGACGGTGTAGTAGTTAGCCTCAGTCAGGCCGTAGTACTGCAGAAGAACACCGGAGTGGGCATCGACGTTGGGGTAGGGGTTCTTGGTCTTGCCGTGCTCAGTCAGGACACCAGGGGCAATCTTGTAAACCTGGCTGACCAGCTGGAACATGGGGTCGTTGGGCATCTTGGCTATAGAGGAATTAGCTTTCTTTTCCTTTTTCCCAAACAAAGGGGGTTACCTATCCAACATACCTTGAGCGAAAGTGCGCTGGGCAGTGTAGCGGGGGTCAGTCTTGCGGAGGACGGCGTGGCCGTAACCAGGGACGACACGGCCGGCGTTGAGGGTAGACCAGAGGTAGTCGGTGATGGCCTTGTCGCTAAGGTCGTCACCAATGGCCTTCTTCATCTCAGTCAACCAGTTGAGAACCTCCTGGTTGGCGAGACCGTGCAGGGGGCCAGCAAGACCGTTAAGACCGGCAGCCAGAGACAGGAAGGGAGAGCTGAGGGCGCTGCCGACCAAGTGGGTGGTGTGGGCGCTGACGTTACCACCCTCGTGGTCGGTGTGGATGGTCAGGTACAGACGCAGGAGCTCAACAAAGTCCTCGTTCTGGCCGAATCCGAGCTGGTTGGCAAAGTTGAAGGAGTAGTCCTTGTCCTTCTGGATGGCGGCAACCTTTCCGCCCTTGAAGACGTTCTGGTAGATGCGGGAAGCAATGTTGGGCAGCTTGGCAATGAGGTCCATGGAGTCCTCATAGGTGTAGTGCCAGTACTCTTTCTTGTTGATGCCTCGGGCGTAGGCCTTGGCGAAAGAGGAGGTGTGCTCGAGGGCAGTGACGGCCAGAGAGAACTGGGCCATAGGGTGGAGGTCGGTAGGGCAGTGGTCGATGAGCTCCTCGACGAACTTGGGGATGTCGGAGCGGGCAGCCCACTCGGCGGACAGATCGCGGACCTGCTGCTCGGTAGGGACCTCACCGGTCAGGAGAAGCCAGAAGAGACCTATATGCCAAAGAAATTAGGATTTTAGTCCCTCCAACTCAGATACTCATACACGACTAGTGTGCTGTGTCACCAACCTTCGGGAAGAGGCTCCTTGCCACCGGGAGCCTTGGGGAGGATCTCCTGGCACTCGGGGATGGTCTTTCCACGGAATCGGATACCCTCCTCGGCGTCGAGGACGGAACCCTCCCAGACGAGGGACTTGATGCCACGGGCACCGCCATAGACCTGGTCGAGGGTGACCTTGTCGACAACCTTGGAACCGTGCTCCCTGTGAAGAGAAGAAGCAACGTCAGCGACGCGAACAGAGTGAAAATGGAAGAGAGGCTGCATTCGGCGCGGTTTCAGGCCATGAAAATTGGGTTTCACTTACTTTCGCAGAGCCTTGATCTGCTCAATCTTCTCGGGGAGAAGCTCGGCGAAGCGGTCCTTCAGAGACTATATAGAGGAAGAATAAATTTCCAGTCAGCTGCTATCCCACCTGATTATTCACACATTTCAACAATCTTTGCCTTGAAGCCAGTGAGCTTCAGGAGAGCAAGATATCGTCATGTGCTTGCGCCGCGGCGATGATGCTCACCTGGGCCTTCGCGGAGTAGCAGCGAGAAGCGTTGAAAGCGACGCCATTGAAGGCGGGGGCGCGCAATGAGGCCCTCAGGGCAGAGTTGCTGAGACGAGTGACAGAGGCCATTGTTAGGAGCTTTTGGGTATATGGAGGGGAAAAAGAGGCAAAAAGGAGGGCACGTCGGAATGGGTGGGAGTGGCAGAGGTTATAAAAAGCGCAGCGCTCGCCGCCGTTACTACGGCAGAAAAAAAAATTAGGCCCGGCGGTTCCTAGCCAGCCTCGGAGCCTTTGACAAGGTTGGCAAGCTCGGCTGCTGGGGCCGTGGACCTTAGCACCGGAACTGGGAAAAGCTGCAGTTACATCACCGCAGATGCTGCTAAGGCTGCTAAGGCTGCTAAGGCTGCTAAGGCTGCTACAAGGGAAAAGTACCTCACGATTAGGGCCTGAAAATGCGGCCGAAGTGACTTATCAGCTACCAGCTCGCCAACAAACGGCCTCTAATGCCGCAAGGACGGCCCCTTCCCCCACCGACTAAGTACATTCCCCCCAACCATCTCCATCTCCCCGACAAGAGGCCAGATAGACCTCGGAATAGACGCACCAGGGTTTCACAATGCATTACATGCAGTATCAAGTACTTACTGGTAGCTAGATGCTTTGAGTCCGAGCTGCAAAGGCTCTGGAGCTCAGTGCTGCTGCTACGTAGGCAAGTTGAAATGGGTAATGTGGTCGAATATAAAGTCACATCTAACAAATGAAATGATAAATGCCTAATATGACGAATAATGTTAAGATCTAGGGCTCTCCGCGATGACGTCCGCAGTGCTCTAATAATAACGACGGAATCAATGTCAGTGCTTAGGTACACGACTGGAATTGGCGAATGGGCACATGCCAGCATCGAAATCCCACCGTAAAGTCGCGCTGGCCCTTGCGCGTGCCCGATTTACAAACACAAGGGAAAATTCGGATTCGTTAAATGGCAACGATTATAGACTACAATGTTGCTTTCATCGCTGCATTCAGCGTCCAGCTTTGCCGAATCCGCCGTGTAAGTTGTTGCGCTTCAATCTCTCCATTCTCCCGAAAGGGCGACGGACGTCATGTGATGGTAAATGCCGCCACGGATTGCCGGCGAGCCTTTTATCCGTAGAGCAAAAACAGCAAGCCCAAGAGTGCGTCATCGTCATTCATTTGTGCTGTCTTAGGTATTTTGCTGTTTGTGAGTAATTGTTATGTAGAAATACGCCCTTTCTAGCTCCTGGAGCAAACATCATTATGAGATAGTAAAACTTCACAACGCGGATAAACCTCGCTTTATCTCGTTGTATCAAAGGCAGAAAATTTTTTGCCTTCAAGCAAACAAGCAGTGGCCCGGTACGTACCTCAAAATGCGTTGGTGACTTCCAGACGCAATGACCTGAATAAGGGAAAGCAAGGTACTGCTACCTCTCTATAGCTCAGTTGTACGCTCTCTAGAGCCGCTTGTATGTAGCGCGCATAAGTACTCCCCTGCTACTAGCTCGTACCGCATACGTCAGGCTCAAGCCGTTCTTAGGCCCAAACGCGGCAGCCTCCAGCAGAGTTTCAGTAGTGGAAATTGCTCTCAGCTAAATTTCGCGCGACCCGCCCCTCTTCCCTCCTTTCAATTTCTCCTCCTTCATCTCCATCGCCACCCGCAAAAAGGTGCTTTCGGATCTTCTTTCCATCACCATTCTCGCCATTTTCATCGTATTTTCGCAACACCAACCGCCTTTAGGCCGACCGAAATAATCATAATAATCTTCTTCGGCCAGGTTTGTGGGCATTTGCCTCCAGCCTCTGTGATCCTCTTTCTCTTCCCTTCTCGCGTGTACGCGGTCCATTGCGGGCAGTAGAATTTTTTTTTTTCTGTTCTCTCCTCGCGCGCTCTTCTCCAAGCACAACGTACATTGTACACTTGGGACGTTGTTCGCTTCGTACAAACGACAAAATATTCTCTTTCGTACAGTATCGCGTCGTTTCATTTTCGTAAGGGCACATTGGATCGATAGTACATCGGTGGAGAGGCAGCCTAGACATCAGCCGTACGACTTTTCTATTGAACTAAGAATCTCATCGCACAAAAGTGATTCACCGAAGCAGCCAAGCAAGGACATAAGAGACAGCTTGTTTTGCCTTTGTCTACTTCAAAGATATACTCGTACACTAGCACTTGGCTCTTTCTTGCTGGCATCGTGCCCTGGAGGATTTGTTCAAAGGAACACAAAAGGAAATTTTGCTAGATCCCAACCATGGCGTCCGCAGTAACAGACTTGGAAGCTGGCCTCCAGGCCATGCTCAACTTGAAGCCCCCTGGCGTATCTGGTTCTCGTATCACTAGCCTCACATCCCTCTGCGTGGCCAACATTCAGGTAAGGAATTTCTCATCGGATAGTTTTACTCTATCAACGCATGTTGTTCGAGCGTGGCCTTCGTCTTGCTGACTTCGCTCCCTTGCAGTCCGAATCCGTCCTCATCCAGAAAATTTACACCCACTTCAAGAAAACTCCCGGAACACACAAACTGGGGGTCCTCTACGTAGTAGACTCTGTAACCCGCAAATGGCTTGAGCAAGCAAAGTCTCAAGGCCAGCCTATAAACAGCTCTGCCCAGGATGGCACATATGCCGCCGGAGTTCACCGAGTGACGGAACTGATGCCCGTGTTGATGAATGACATTCTTCAGTCCGCCCCAGAAGACCAAAAGGTACGTGATATTCGAGTTTAATCTGTATGAGTCTGGTCAAGACAATGAGAGCAGCGCTCCCTCTCGTAGGCGTCTGAACGTGCGCTTCGTTTTTCATGACATCCCTTGCATCTGGTGAACCAGCAGCAAGACCTCTTTGCATTCATCTTCAGAATCGAATCTTAAGTGTGCAAGGTCATTAGTACTTGCGGACGGTTCATCGGCCACCTCTAGGAATCATCCACATGACACCGTATCTGAAGGACTAGTAACTCACTCTTTATTTTTCGCCGTGTAGGAAAAGATCAAAAAGCTACTTGATATCTGGGAGAAGGGACAGACCTTTCCCACAGCCATGATAGAATCATTCAAGGAGAAGGTCAACGCTCCTTCGCCACCCAGTACGTCTCCTCAAAACGCTCTTCCAGCTGGGCACAATTCTCTTCAGAGAGACATGGTGCTCCTTGCCAGCTTAGTTGTAGATGCTATCTATGAGAATAAGCCCTTCTAACATGCTTGCAGAATCAACTACTCCCCCCGGCAGCCCGCCTCCGGGATTGGCAGCATCTGTTCAAAACCAGGCACCACCCACTGGTTCGTCTATCTTGGAGGCTTTGGCTAACATGGCTCGACAAAACACCTCGGCTGCACCAAACGGCCAATCTATCCCGGCTCCCGCCGCGGCGTATAGCATGCCTCCTGTTGCCTCTAATGCTCCCCCAGCCTCTGTTACTCCCCCCGGGCTATCGCAGGCCCTTGCTTCATCGATCCCACAGCCTCATCAATCATATCCCCCGACTACACAACCCGTAAATGTGTCATCTCTGCCTTTCTCGTTGACGCAAATGCTTGGTCAGAATGCTCCTCCAGCTACGAGTAACCCACCCAATCCATATGCAGCGGCCGCAGCGCCTCCTGCTCCCGGAGCCGGCGGTGCTGGTCTAGATCCGAACGTACAGCAGCAGATAATGCTGATCAAGGCCCTTGCCGATCAAGGCGTTCCCTTTGATAAGATTCCGGCTCTGATCCAGAGCATGACTGCTGCCGGGGCTGGAGGATATCCCGGAGCACAGCCTCCCGCTCCTATCCCTGCCGCCCAGGGCACCTTTCCACCAGCTCAACAGCCGTGGGGAGCAGCCGGCTCAGGCCCAACACCAGATCAGGGCTACCAGGACAGCGTAAGATCTCCTAGATATCGCGGTCGTTCACGCTCTAGATCACCTGAGCGCGGCTGGGGTCCTCGCGGCTCTCCGCGCGGTGGACGTGACTATGGTCGTAACTCGCCTCCCAACAGAGGAGGCCGTATGGATGATCGAGACCGAAATGGCCGAGCAGGCAACGATTACCGCCAGCGTAGCCCTCGACGCCACGGGCGAAGCCCCTCTCCCACCAATGATTTCCAGCAGGAGAAATGGGTTGAGTTTGATCCATCAATCCCATCTGGCCACATCAAAGTTCTAAGCCGTACCCTGTTCGTGGGAGGCGTTACGTAAGTCCAACAAGGCTCATCAGCCTTACCGGCTAAATAAGACATATCGATCGTGTACTAACTCCAGTGTTAGATGTTCCGAAGCCGAACTGCGTGGCATTTTTGGCCGCTACGGCACTGTCCAGACTTGCATCGTCAACAAGGACAAGCGCCATGCATTTGTCAAGATGCTGACGCGCCAGGATGCTGTCCGCGCAAAGGACGGCATGGAAGATGCTAGAGGTCTTGAATATCCCCTTCGAGTAAGTCCATATTTCCCGATACACGGCTAGTGGGTAGTAATACTACCTATGAGATAAGCAACAGGCTAACCGGTGCGCAGACTCGATGGGGCGTTGGCTTCGGTCCAAGAGACTGCAGCGACTACTCGACCGGTGTTAGTGTCATTCCCATCCACAAGCTTACGGATGCCGACCGAAAGTGGATGCTTACGGCTCCCTTTGGCGGAAGCGGCGGCCGGCCAATTGAAACAGGCCTCTCCGTCGAAGAGCCGGACATTGAAATCGGCGCCGGTGTTTCGTCCAAGGCCATCAGCCGCCGCATGCAGACGGACAAGGGCGGCAGCAACGGCCCCAAGTCCACGCGCCATCGCGAGGATGATGGAGGAGGTCGCTGGCGACGTGGTCGTGATGACGGCCACGACCAAATGGGCCACGACCAAATGGACCACGACAACGCCGGACAGCAAAACAACATGGCCGACTTTCCCTTTGGACTCAGCACTCTGCCAAATGGCATGCCCAATTTTCCATCGGGCTTTCGATTCCCAGATCCCAACACTGCTGGAAGGACCTGAAGAGGGTATCCGTATGCGGGGATGGAATTCAAATAGAACGGCCTTGGAAGCTTAACCAGATGGCTCAGGCTGAAGACAGTAGCGGCATCAATCAAGCATAGGGTAAACGGCGTCTGGCGATCGGGTGGCCTCCTTTGGGAAAATCGAGACTGTTCCTTGACCTCATTGGGCTGGGTTGTATAATTTCGTCATTGGTGATAGAAACTATACATGCTTTTCCTTTTCTTTTCTTTTCTTTTCTTTTCTGTTGTTTTGTTATCAATTTCTATCATTCTGGTTTTGGGCGGCGGCTTCTTGATACTCTGTAATCGGATACCTAGGTACTTAGTCATGACTAAAAGTTAATTTGAATTTTATAATTTATCTATTTATGAGCCGTCTTGTGCTGGTGAATTGTGGTTTATGTGATATTGAATTGCTTAGTAGGTGACGCCAACGTATACGAAGTTGAAGCTAGAGATGTTCTCATCTCAGCTCATATAACTCTTGTCCTGGTAGTTTGACAACATAGTTGAGTCAATGCCAGCAAGGGTGGAATAATGCCTTCGTCGTAAATTGCAAAGCTGGCTCATTCAAAAAGAGCCTTTGGTATATATTGTTCATCTTCATTTACAAAATCGTAAAATTGAATTGTCTGCCTTATAGCCTCGTGTGCTATACGATGCCCTTACTGAATGCGTCTAACACGATGCTGCCGATGGCTGCTTGATGCCATGAACACTCTCTGTTCTCTTTAACTTTAGCAAATAAAGACATATACAGGTCAACTGCAGTGTATATAATCCATCTTTACTCTAGAGATGAGATACATAAAATGACATGTAATACTCAGAACCTTTCTGCTTGCCATGACTCACCTGTGATGGTTTCTGTGTAGTGTCAGAGCAGCATGTCAGTTACATGTAGTGTTCCGCAATATAGAGGTACTCATGCAGTAGGCTCAATTGTACATTATGAGATAATTACGGTATTACCGTTCCATTCACTCCTTCATACTTCGCACCAGTCACCCAATAGTCTCATATCTTTACAGCCAGTGCCATGCCACGCTTTTGATGAAAAGAATAATGAGATGATGCCAACGAAGACGTGCATCTCCTGTTCGAAAAGGGTAGAATAAATCGCAATCACTGTCCAGCAGCCCTAGCATCCAACAAACTCCTGCCGCAATGGATCAGAATGCTTCAGAAACATCGCGTGAAATGAAACCTCACTCGGCTCTTTTGCGTCCTTGCGCACAATACAAAGCTCAACGTTTAGTCGGCAGCGGAAACAAGTACCCTTAGCAGGCGCTGATTCATGTCAGATTATACTCCAATGTCAGGGAGAGGCTTTGGCTTCGTTAAGTACTAACTTAATGTACTCCTGAGTAATTTCGATCCTCTCTCATAATGATACCGCTTTGGAAGGGCAATCTTTTACATATCCTGGTTTGCCTCCAACTCAGACACCAAGTTTACGGTCGCAGATGGATCTAGAGGAGCATATCAGGAGTACTCATTTACAGACGAGGCTGGAAAAGTCATGAATCGAATGGGAAGAAAAACGCAGAAACAACGGAAACAAAACTTGTGAGTACGCAAGCGCAAGAAGAGCATGGGAGCAGCTATTGTTTCATGACACGAGGCCAAGACGTAATATTACACAGACCATCTCTGTTGAAAACTCCAAAAAGTATTATAAAATGTTAAACAGTGTGTTCTCAGCGAGTAAATTAACTTTTCCTGTGTTTATTGTTGCTCACCCTGCACTCCATAGGCATAGTGTGTTAGGTATGGAGAAGAATTTACATCAGTCCTACCAGTGTCCTATCAACAATATTGCAGCTTACACTCTGTCGGTGAATGTATATGATTTCTTTTGCAACTTTTGATGATGGGTTATAGTAGAGACCAGAGCAAATCTAACAACACGATGATAATTATAAGAACTACATCTCCCATGATGAGAATTTCAGCTGCTAATTCCACGGTTGCTGCCATCTGCTACGCTATTACTCCAGTTATTAGAAAGAATTCGACACATGGATATTATACGAAGCTGGCGCCTCTAAAGACATCATCGCGCTCGCTTTATGGATACATCTCATCTCATCCATCTTGCTAATTCCAGCTATTTCACTCGTCGGTATTTTGGCCCACGAGTTTGAGAGCGTAGAAAAGGGTGGAGACAGGGTGGTAGTAGCTCCTTTCCAAAGGAATACGCGTGAGTAAACTTTAGAGTTAATTTTTTACTCGTGGGTCAAACGGTATGGGTGGGAGGGGCAGGCCGGGTAAAAAGAGCTGGGACAGAGCAATTGGTGATGTTGGTGCCGTGTACTTGGGAGAAAAGAGATGCGGCGGATGTGGAGTTCCGGGGAAGCCGAAGGTTTCAAGCAAACATGTTTGACTGTACTACCACTCAACAACTGACCGGCGTTAGGCAGCAGCCAGCAGACAAACGCTCGTAACACGTAACAAGTGAGAGAAATAAAAAGAGGACGAAACACAGCCAAGGAATTCTCAATATCAGCAAACGCCGTCGTGCTGGGTTAATCGATGTTGAGAACCAGGCTAATCACGGACGGTGCCGCTTGGCTTCAACTGCGCTAGGGGATTGGCACGGCCTCTCATTTCATAGCTTAGTTTTCCATTCATTCAACAATTGTTAGAAGAGGAGTGTCGTGTACGACAGTGTTTAACCTCTTGGCCAAGGTAAGACCCATTCTGTAGTGGTGAGGTCTTTATGGCTATACTGTAGTCAGTCCGGCCATATCTTGGCATCCGAGAGACTCATTTTTTGTCAAGGCCTGGTCAGCAACGAGGGAATGGAATGCATTACCAGTTAATGGTGCTCCTTGAACTTATTCTACTTCCGTTGAATGCTATGGGAAACATAGACATCCATTTGAGCAAGGGCCATTCGGGCTCGCGAAGTAAGCATCCCAGACCTTCCTATCCTATTAGACACAGTGTCAGCGCAACCTCATTATGTGGTTTACACGTAAAGGCGGTATCAGATATCCACTCCATTTGAGGCAAATGGCCCTGTCCTCACAAAGAAAGCCGCAAGAAGCGAGGTGGCGGCTTCCATGGGGTTTCTAGAGCGTCTTAGGCGCCCAGTCTATCTATTACTAGTGGCGCCAAGAGGGTTTGCTCGACTGCGAACATTTTGCCACAGGCCGAGTACATGGTATAAAATTGGTGGACCTTGTCAAAAGGAGAAGCGTGGCTGACGCGGATGAAAAGAACAATGAAGAGTACATTTCAGGCCACTCCGTATTCCCTGTGGAGAGGCGAAGAGGGTAGAGCAGGAAGCCCCATAGTGTACGTTGACTCCATTCCGGGGTGACAGTGTATAGACGGAGCAGCACTTCTGAAAAGGGCATTTGGTTTTCTTCCTGGCTTTGCTTAATGACTCAGAGCCAATCAACGCCGCTTCGATACGGAGGTTCCTTGTCAGCCCGTTTACCAGCCGTCATCGCCATTCGGTAGTCAGCCGCAAGCAACCATGTAAATGTCACGGGATCAAGCTTCCTGTATGTAATGGCTAACGATGCATGCCGTCTAGTATCACGATTGTACTGCTACTTGTACCATACGCAAATACTAGTACAAGTATGTAGCTCTTATTACCGATCGGCTCAAGCGTCGCTCAATTTGTTGCTGGTCCCTGCTGAACCGGCTCACGGTCCGCGAGCTGGTTGGCAATGCAGTAACAAGAATATCCCTGAAAATCTGTGCCATTTTCGATGGCCAATCGGCGTCTTGGCAGCGGCTTTTCCATGGGGCGGCCAAGTGAGCTAGGCTGATGAGGTAATGAACGAAAAGGAGAACTAGGAAGCGAAGCAAAGGAGAGGCTGAAAACGGGCAGGTGGTGTATATTGGGCCGACGACGGCCATGACGCAGCAACCAAGGCAGACCGCCCATGCCACCAGACGCTGTTTGGAGCGGCTTGCGCTTCGTTGTCTCTTTGCGGCGACGCGTACTGGAAACTACTCGCCACGAGCGATGCAGACGCTGACGCTGCAGTTGCTCGCTTATAATGGTCGCTGCTGTATGAAATTTATGTATGACGGTGGTGCCAGTGACACCTTTGCTAGCCAATTTATGAGCAATTTTGCGTGCAATGGCGCTGCAATTCTCGTCAATCGTCATTTATCTGCCTCTTTGTACCCAGGCCATTCTCTGATCGATCGCGGAGTAAAGTTGAAGGAGAGCACAAGCAAAAGGCCAGCACACGTTGCGCAAGGACCATCCAGTGAGCCCAGACCCTTGCTTTGCCAGGCATCATGACTAGGGGACCAGCAATACAGCCAGGTAGCGGGCGACTGAGAACCACACAGTGGCCATTTTCGTAGCCCAACGATGAGCAGGGGAGTGCGGATACTAGCCGGGCTGAACCATGACTGCAAAACGATTTTCTCCATATCGCAGGTGCCGCATGCGGTGATGGACGATCACTGTTAGTGACATGGCCGAAATGATACAGGATTAGGATCGCATGTATAAGTCAGCATTGATACCCCTTTGTATATCAATAAAGATGAGCCGTATATACCTTCAGAATTGATTTGGACGGACAAACTATAAGTCACTCACTGAGGCCAAAGAGCGAATGATTGTTTGTTGCGGCTCATCATGCCTGACCCCTTTCCGTCTTGGCGACAGCCGCATTGAGACGCAAGTATAGATAGAGTAGTAGCGCCTGTAGTGTGCATAACATTGGGGAATAAAGATCCAGTACAGCAGCTGAGGTCTTGTGGATTCCTTCTTACTGTAGTCGTAGCGCGAAGTATGGAGCGCGGGTGGCGGGATTCTTCCATCTTGGCGGTATGGAATGCTCCGTTTGCTCAGTCTGAGTGAAGTGCGATATGCGCGCTTTGGCCTCGGGACAAGGCCGTCGTATAATAGCCACGGTGGGTTCCACCTACGATCTAAGGAGGAATCCCGAGGAAAGCCCTCGTGTAGCCGGGGGAAGACGTCGGTCAACACTTGTGGGAAGGGGCCGTGGTGGCTATTTTGGTGCCCAACCGTGCTCGGTTAGCCGACGCAGTGAATGCTTTATTGGTAAGAAACTGCGAGGATGCCATTACTGTATGCCGTGAGTGATGAGAAAACAAATTGTCGGCTGTTTGAGAGCGTTCGTCAACCGATACGGCGTGCGAGTAGTAACTAATCGACTGGGCTTCTTCATGTGGCTTCCACGGTCGAATCGTATTCGCTGTATCCGGTCTGTGTCGGCCCACAGTTGATATCATCTGCATCTCTTGTGTTAGACAACAGCATGCTTCAAGTTCTCGGTGAGCGGCGCAACGCTACAAGCGCCAATGTTATTCGCTGCACGAATGCCGTGTATATCACCTCCACTGCTGCCTCGTGGCCGGCGTATGCTGCTCCGATCTTCACACGTAACGTGGCGCTTGTAACATCACCGGGCAGCATGTCGTAGGACCCGAAGCATTGCATGATGGTAATGCAAGGAGGCGAGATTTTGTTGCTGGTGCTGGTGCCGGAGTAGAATGGCTGCCTAGGATTGATAATAGAGCTACGGGACATCATCGTCAAGATGCAAGCCGGTCAACCTTAGTTACGTGCATTAATTCTATACCAAGATGCGGCAGTAGCGGTAAGTCAGTGCTACGACGCACCTGCAGCCTTGTAACATTTGCCATTCCTACAGCGTTATTAGGGTAGGCGGGCGCTCGTTCTGTGCATGGAGAAGGAGCGGTTTGCCATCCTTTCGGAGTTCTAGAATGCGAGTAGAATGTCTTGGACGCGGAATGCGTGATTTACTTTGAGGCAATCACCACAAGAGGCAACAGCAGATACAGCTGTATTGCATCTGAATGACGTAGCGAGCTGTGCCCATGACGCTGATGAGGACACGCGATAAGTATCCCGCGGCTGCTGGAGATTTTTGTATTCCTGCAAGTTTGTGGCTTGTAGATGAGTATTCAGATAACGTATTGGCTGTGCTATTATTATATAGTATATGTAGAGTAATGCCGCAACTACACCATGTCTAGATACGTTGCTAGCCATGATAAAGAGCTGTTGGCTACTATCAAGAGTAGTCCACGATGCATTATACGGTAGAACTGTGTACTAGGCCCTCACTCCCGGCAATTTGGATCCGGCGACCTCCGCAAATTCACTCCGAGAGAGGGTCTACGGGTCAGAGATCTCGGTATCTTGCTTGCTCCTTTCCTTCCCTCGCCTTACCGCTTGTAGTAGTACCTATTATCTTTGCTTCTTTTTGGCTTCGACTTGCGTAGTCCACTGAGGCTATCGGCTGAATAGTGTGCGTACTGTACAGCATATTTCAGATCCTGAAGCACTTTTCGGATGCCACGGTAATTGAGCCGCATTGACATAGGGGCATTCAAGGGATAGCGAGACATCGCAAACAGCAGTTGCTGGCATTGCCAACCACGGCCCGCGGAGTTGAATGGGACGGATCATACAAGTGCCATAAGTACATGGCTGTATAGATGTCGTCTACCGTGCAAAAGAGCTCAAGCTGCTTCTGGGCTGGAATACGGAGTACGTGTACATCGTATCAGCTACAATGCTCGCATAGTGCTACTGCTGGACTAAGACAGAAGCAGCCAAGTACAAGTAAAGCTACGCGTATTCCTAGCCGTTGAGGTGTGCAAGCAGAAGTACTAGTACCCTCCCTCAGCTTCAATGACGGCAGCGGTACTACCTACTTTGTCGTCGTCATGAGGCCCGGAGACGGCCATAACGGGCACCGACCTTACTTGCATCACCTAAGAAAAGCAAACATAGAATAGCGCTGCATTGCTGGGGGATCAGAAACATGCCAAGTACTGCAAGTAAACATTGACTGCGAGAGCAAATTAATTTCGCCAAGTGCCCTGTTTCAACGCTCCTTCAGGCTAGCGTGCTACGGAACACACTCAAAGTTTAAGCAGCACAGATAAACACGAGGGGCCCCAAGAAAAGGTTCTTGCCTCAGCCGTGGCCCGCGGCGCCGTACCTGAGGGTACATTGTCGGCTTTGCTTCGGACCAGTGTGGCGTACGGTGCTCTAGGCCTGGCCGTTTGGCGCTGGAAGGCCGCTAGAAAGGCCACAGGGGAGCGAGCACTGAGGGCCGGGCAGTTCCCGAGGCCAGCCACTGTTTTTTTTGGTGACAAGTGAGTGTGAAGACGGCACGGATAATCCTCGCAGCTTTTGCGTTGCTGTCTCTAGAACCATGTACCTGGTATGGACGGTATGGATGACTGACATAGATTACAGTTAATGCCGTTCCCTGCCAAGGTGTAAAGTCGCAAAAATAGCACTTATTCCAACTCGTGATCGGTGCTTCGCTCAGTGTATGACGATAGCTGATCTAAATCAAGAATGAAATTGCGAGCGCAGGGAGCAATCATGTGGACTCGCAAACACACAAAAAAACAACAACATGAATCAAAACAAGGGCTTGGCGGACGGACTGGCAGCGACGATTGCCGGCGCAAAACTGCTCCATGCCCGGTCGGCCACGCGCGCACGGCCTGTCAGACTGTACGGTAAAGCAGGGAGCATTGCCGAAATTCCTTCATGTTCCTACTTTCTTGTCGTTTTGTCAGCTAAGACATGTATACACACAGAAAGAGAGACAGTGTCGCAGGAATGAGAGGACAGCAGCTGGACAAGCTTACAAAGACCCGTGGCATGTATCAAATGGACTTGTACGAGTCTATTCTTGGCAAGAATGAAAAGGGCCCGAGAATGGGAAATGATTCACGGCTGATGAAATGAAACAGCTATGTACTAGTATAAGCAAGCATCATGAATAAGAGACATCAATCAGAGGCGTGAGAGTTAGTGGAAGCGCTGTTCGGCCGGCTGCTTTAGATGAAGCAGCTTTGATCGTAAATACCGCTGGCTTGGCTTGGCATGGCCTGGGCAGGGAGCAATTGCAGGTAATTCCTGGTACAGCCGCAGTGCCGCGATACTGCGGGAGGCATTGCCGCATTGATCATCCTGAGCCGACAGGCCTGATTGGCGAATCAAAGCGACGATAACAAAGCCGATCGGCTGGGTAGAGTTACGAGGCGCAAGGGTTCTAACCGATGGGCACTGCCGGTTGGTACAACGCAGGTGGCTGGGGATCAAGGAAGAAAAGAATCTAGCAGCCTATTCGAGTATGCGCATGGAATCCATCTGCCAGCGCAGAAGAACAGCGTTCGAAGCTCGGATGCATACGACGCTCCTCCACTTTACCGCTGCGCTACCGCAAGAAGCTGGCGGTGACGGTCCATCTCCTGCTCTTTGGCCCCAGATAGTGCCAATATCGATGCTCCGTCTGGTGTCCCCCATGGGGTGGGGGGTACGCAGGAGTGCAGAGCAGCGTTGCGGTAAATGCAGGTACCTGCTTTAGTTTGTCGGCCGATTGGACACTTGGATACATGTACGCTGAAGGGAACCAACAGCATTGCGCATTTCGCATTACGACTATCATTGGCTAAGCTGGGGGGATTAAGTCAAATTGGGCTTTGCATGGAGCTTTTGCTATCATGCCCGGATGAGACTGCGCAAACGGCTTTTTTGCGGTGGCAAGAAACAGCACGGGGCACTGAGCAAGAAGAGGAGAAGAGCCCAAAAATTGACCATAAAAAAATAGAACATGAAAGAATAGAACAAACAAAAAGCAAAACATCCATAGATAACAGCAACAAACGCCGGAAAGCAACATCGAAAAGCCTGGCCCCAAGCATGACCAAGGGGGCTTGGGTCCAAAAAAACGCCCACGGATCATCAACAAGGTGCAGCTCGCCAAGGGCCTGACCGCCGAGTGCCTCTACTGCAAACCCCCACCGGGAAAAGATCCAGCAGTAGGGAGGTCAAAGCCCGGCGTTGCTGTCATCATGGGAAGCGAGCAATTGGAAAAATGCCTCAGCAAAAAGAAGCAAGCGAAGGGCAACATAAGCCAAAAACATTGATAGAAAAAGACTTGGTTCTAGGCTGCAGAGCAAATTACTGCCAAGCGGCCGACGCAGCAAAATTGGTTCAGCCAAGAAAACGCCAGGACCGTTAGTAGCGGCGGTAGTGCTCCGTAGCGGGGGATGCTAGAGGCGGATATTGCAAGTAGAGTTGAGCATTAGGTTTGAGGGCGGGCGAGCCCACCTGAAATTGGGTATCATTGCTGG